ATTCTCTGCAAAGCTGCTGGACACAAAAGGAGAGCGACTGAGGGTAAAACATGGAGTGTCAGCTCAGGTCACAGATTTCCATTTACTTTTAGGCAGGAATTTTTTTTTAATCCTGCTATACTGTACTCAAGGATGTTGGAGATTTCATTTTGCTACGGCATCCTTTCAGAAAACAATAAATGTCCTGTGTAGTTTAAGCTATATATGAATTTCTGCTCAGCTTCAATTAATCGATTTACATAGTTATTTATTTTTTGCTTTGTCCCACCCTCTTTTTAAGGCATTTTTTTATACTGCAGCTGAATCTAGGGCCCCCTAATTTCTACGATGCGGAAAATGAGGATTGAATTGTTGAATTTAAAAAACAAACTGGAATCCACAGCAAAACACGAATGGTGGAAATTTCCATCACAGATGGAAGGAAAAATATGAACCAAGGTCTGGATTATTATGGAAACGTGCACAAACTTTTATTACTTGCAAGTTTTTTTTTGCATGTAATAAGTACGTTGATATTGAGTTCAACTTTAGAGCATTTATTAAAGGGAAATTTTCTTTTATGTTACAAAAAAGATATTAGTTGTTTTGCACATAATTTTAGAGTTTTCATGTTCGTAATGTTCTTTTGAACCACACAAGTTTTTCATTTGATATGAAATACTGAACCCTAGCTAAGGATGTGTTTTTTTCCCATTCACTCCATAATTGTGTACTATTTAGGTTAACTAATATAGTTAAAATGTAATTCAGTAAAACTGAAACAGAAAAAGTGAAATTTGGCATAAAATAAAACATAATTTTGAAAATAAGGCCCACCTCGTTGTCCATGGTAGCATGATAAACACATGTCCTCTTCCCGCCTTGTTTTCCACAGTTTCACTATATAAAATATTTTGCATTGCTTGCACTTTGTAGAAATTTTCTGGCAATCAACACGCATATGCCTTACTTTAGATGTATATTGCTCATAGAAATGTCCCATATAAGGTATGACAAAAGAATTGCTGTCTTTTACTAAATTTAAGCCAAATCTCAAGAAAGATGGGATGCCTGAAAAATTGCTTTAGGCAATTTCTTTTTCTTTGTTTTCATCTAACAAAGAAAATGTCTGAATTATAAGTGGAGACAGTGGTTTAATGCATAGTGAACTGAGCTCACAAAGCTGTATATGCTGTAAAATTCCCTTAAAATGTAATTGTTTGCAGACAGTTAAATGTGACCCTTCACCTGTGATTTCAACATCCTTTGACCGCTGATTAGTAGATTTTCTTTTTCAACATGCTGCTGGAACATTTGTTGTGGATTCACAAATACATAGGTCTCAATATATAGCTTGTTTCTTATTAGTTTTTTTCTACATATGTTCTTTAAGTTTATAGGCAGCTGAACAAATCTACTTACCCCTAAAAACATTATGACTTTCAAGTATTTTGCAACTCTTACCGCCTTGTTGTTTTCCACCACTAGTTTCTTGGTGTTCTTCCTAATTTTAGGACTTTTGGTGGGGTAAATCTTGTGAAAAGCGATCAAGTTTCATTCAAAAAGAAAAAAAAAATAGGAAACTTAACTGTTTACACAAAGGGCGGTAGGGGAATGAGGGGCAAAACTGGCTAGCATCTCATGAAAATACTGACATCCCTTCATTGGTAATATGCTCAATCTCTAATGTAAGTAGACATCCACACACCAATTCCCTTTGATTGCAAGTGTTTCAGACATAAACGGAAGAGCATATGTCTGAAAAATCAGCCTCTCCTTCTTGCAGGTTTCAGCTTCCCCTCAACTCTTTTATAGACTTGACAGCCGACAAATCAAACCTCTTAGTGTGATTATAGGGTCAGTTGCTGTTTGTTTTATGGCGCATAGAAGAGCTTGAGGTTGCCAAGACTATTGCTGCTTGGTTGCTTTAGAAGTTTGTAGTTGTAGTTCTTTGCCAGTTTGATGTTTGAGTTTGACTCTTTTTATTTTTTCAACCAGAACAGAGCGAGCCTGACTAATGCCGTTAAAATCCTGATTGATGCATCTCCATATATTTTGTGGTTAAGCTTTGACATGCAGATATTTTGTTGATTCTGGTTTATTTTTAAGAACAATAACAGAGATATCAGAAAAACATTCAAAATATTAATCTTTTTTTTTATGTGCAAGAATTAATTATGTTGGATGTAGTACTGTAAAGACACATTTCACTAATTATATAAAAGATAAATAATTATGCAGTTAACATTTTAAATTGTATTTATCATCTTACCAATTAGCATAATTAGTTTGATTGACGTTATTAACTGTCTAAAGTATGTAACTTCAACTCATGGGGTTTTCCTGGAAGGCACCAACATTTCCAACTGCAGACAGAGATTCAAAGTTCAGAAGAATATAATGTAGCAACTTTTCCTCCTCCATTCAGTCCTCCTGGTATCAGCTCTGTCTCTCTCTGACGCCCCAAATAAACCACAGCCATTAAACATTTCAGTGGTTGTGAAAGTGGCTAATCTTTTTCACTTGGTAACGGTACCCACACAGAAGAGGATTTCTGGATCCAGGACCTGGTGGCGCTTTTTGCAGTGATGAGAAAGTGCTTTGAGTTTCCATCTGGTGTATAAAATCACTCGGTTCTGGTAATAGGCTTTAGGTATTGTACACCTCATGTCTGAATGAGCCGCTGGTGTTTCTTCTCTGGACAATTTATTTGAATAAATAAACCAGCAATGGCACACAAAGGCCTCTTTGGTTTTCAAGTGTAATCATCTCACTTTGGAGCATACGCAAATGCTTCCTATCGGGACATCTAATACTTTAGGGCTTCGCAGTCTGTCCGTTCCTTCCGGGACAAAGGTAGCCACGTGTCTCAACTTGAAACTAGTGGCTACAGTTTTTCTGGTCACGTGGCGAGTTGATCCTCTGCTTCTTAAATCTGTCATAGTTCACCACAATGTTGTGCAAACTGACTGTGAAGCCATTACTTAATTGTATCTTGGTTGAAGTTTGATTTCTGTGTGCAACACACTCCCACACATAAGCCGTCATCTCCGGTAGATAGATGGTCTTTGTATTCAGGCATGGTACAGCAGGGCACATCTGTCTGAGCTGTGGAACAGATTTGGGTCCTTTCTAAGTACTGCAAACTTTCATGTCAGCAGGCCTGATGTTTGGCTGAGTTAAGTTGGTTTTGTTTTGAATGATTTTGTCCATTAAACAGCAGTATGAATTACTGTCTCTTTAATATTTAGCTAATATTAAAGAGACATAACTCAAAAGGCCCTATGATAACCTATAGCCCAACACAAACATCCCAGATATTAGCTTACTGTTTTTATTATCAACACAATAATTGTATTTTCTGATTTTCTTTTCCAACTCTCTGCTTCACATTAGTCTCTATAGATAAATATTCCTAAATATAGATGAAATACTTTGGTATGAGGTTCGGTTTCAAGTTGCAGCTGTGATTTGGTATTAGTTTTGTCCCATATTCTCCTTGTAATTCTTGCGACTTTGTTTCTGGGTTGGCTCGGCCTTTGTGCTCCCTCCATCTTGGACCAGTTAGAACTGGTTTTTCAAGGAAGTGATTTCCCTCTCATAAATTGCTCATAATGTGTTCAGGAGTTGTATCCACTTATCAGTATGCAGAATGTTTCCAAATAACACACATTTTATTTGAAACATCATGAATTAATAAAGTGAGGATGCGAGTTCCTGCTTCATTTCTAATGCGTGACTATTTGTTCGCTTCACGTGAAAGATTCACTAATGATTTTCACTTTCTGCTTTGTATTCTGACATCTTAGAATTGGGTCAGCTTTTAATTTAAGTTGCTTTGTTTTCTGCCACTTTTCAGTTTTTAAACAGCGTTTTGTCTGGGTCATTCCAGAAACTCATTGTGTGTGTTTAGAACATTTTGTTGGAACACTTCATGGTTTCAACTGCTGATTTTATAGGAAGTTGAATAATTTGGATTTGGTGTATCTCACTGGCAACAAAAGATACGCTAAGCATGATTCTTTCACCAAAATACTTAATAGTTAGTGTTCTTTGAATAGAAAACTTCACCCTGAACCGTTTATGCTTTTATGGCAAAATACCAATATCAACCATCTGACCCAGACTGTCATGACCAGGCTAAAGAATATGAGAATGTTCAATGTGTGTAAACGTTTTCTGGTGTTGCACCTGTTTAGGACAGTAGTTGTTGGAAATTTTAAGTAAGCTCTGTAGATCTTATAAATTTGTTAAACTTGATTGTTTTTTAAGAGAAGTAAAGTGAAACAGCAAATATTGCATCCTTGGGGTATTTTGATGAGTATTTCTTCCCACAATAGAATTTAGTAAATCAAGATGACTTCTGTTATAATAATCACTTTTTATTAAGTGAAGAAAATCTTGATTAAATCAAATCCTGCATACATTTCTCTCTCTTTCTCCTTATTTTTCTCCCTCTCATCCCCCCAATCATCCTGGATCTAAATGAATGTCTTGTAATGTGTTTGACTTTTGAAAACTGGCATTGAAGTACTGAGTGCTCCCAAGCAAGCCCTGTATGTGATGCTTTGTTTCAAACTGCAGATTAGCTGATTTGGTTAAGCATCTTCAATCACCTTTAGGACTCTTTGTTGTCACTGACCTGAGTGGTTTAAGACAGCCACTCAGGTCAGTGTCACTGCTAAGTTGAGGCCTGGCACTGCTGGCTTTATCTGATTGACTCACTTTCAGATACTTTTTCAGTTTAATGAAATGTACACTGAGCCAGATTTTACCTCACTTGGCTTGTAAGACTGCTTCTGTTGTGCATTTTGCTATATTGATGATGTTTGCCAAATGAGAAATGCTTGCCCTCAGTCAACTAAACAATTTCTTCACCATTTCCTTTCTTTCTTTCTTTCTTTCTTTTCTTTTCTTTTTTTTTTTTTTTTTTACCTAGCCTACCTCTTTTGTTTGCTTTTCTGTGTTTTATGAATACATAAACAGAGTGCTGCAACTGTTTGTTCCTTCTGTATCTCCAGGGTGAGAGCAGCCATGTCAGAAGAGGCGGTGCGTCAAACGCGCAGCCAGAAGCGAGCTTTGGAGAGGGACCATGCAGCTCTTGGCGGTTCCCCAGGGGACATGGACGGCAAGCGGGTAAAGCTGGAGAGAGGTGATGCAGCTGGGGCCCCGCTGGCCCTGATGGGACCTGCAGCTGAGGGCATGAAGCTGAAGAGTGAGCAGGCTGCTAAGGTAGCAGCCAGCATCCTGAAGACTGGGGAGGTGAAGGCTACCATCAAGTTGGAGGTTCAGACCGGAGACGAACCCGTGGACATGAGCACATCCAAAAGGTGAGACGAGGAAAATAATCTGTTGGGTTTTGGTTTCTTCGTGGGTGCTGCACTATCATGTAAAAGGAACATACAGTACTTTATGTGATTGTAATACTGTTGGACATGAGCTGGCATTACACTTTTGCAGTACAAATTCAAAGGTTTCAATGTTTTGACACAAAACTGCAAAATGAAAACAAGCAACACGAGTCAATGTCAGGAGAAAAACAACAATTACGCCTGCTGCTGCAAAAAAAAAATCAAACATTGATAATTACAGGTAATGGGTTCCATAACATTTAAAAAATTTTGTTTTACGGAACTTTTTAAACTTGGAAAATGTAAAATACTTTAATTTAGTATTACTTTTCAAGGTCAGAATGTTATGTTTTAGGTATTTATAAAGGTCGAACTGAGATAGCTGAGAATAATTGGATAATTAGCAAGTGTTATGGACACGGCGGAGGGTCTGTTTTTCTCGACTAACCTTGGAACGCCTTGGGAACATCTTGGGATTCCCCTGGAGGAGCCGGGCCTTTCTGCGTAGGCTGCTGCCTATGCAGCCCAACTTTGGATAAGTGGAAGATAATGGACAGTGGGGCTCTGCTTGGATAAATCCTGCGTTAGGCTGCTAACAGACACTTTCCCCAAAGCTTGCTAGCTGGAGTCATCAAACGGGTTAAAAAACTGATAAGTGGTGCGTTCATTTTTTTTGCAAACCATTTAAGAATGGTTTCTTAAATGTGCCAGAATAACTGGGAATGTGTGGACTGTATAAAACACATAGTATGGTTTATGCATTGTCTTGTCCTTCCTCCACTTACTGCAGCACACTGCTAATCAGCTGGCAGAAGGGAGACTACAAAACTCATACATACAACAACTTCATGGTGAGGAAAGGCATGCAATCTATCACTCTATTAAACAATACCATTTTAAACCATAGTTGATATGTTGAATGAAAGCAGTTTATATCATGTTATAAGCAATTATATTTCAATCTATGAGAACCCATACCAGGCCTAGTTGAAAGCAAGGGGTAAGTGTAGTACCCGTTTTATTCAGCCAGGTGACCGGCAGTGCACATCAACACGAGGGTTTAGTGGAGGGGGGCCTTGCAGCTTATTTGAGCTCTACACATCCAGGGACAACACTGGTCGCTCTCATACGTTCTATGGTATCTTGTGAAGCTCAGTAGAAACCAGTGAAAGTTTTTAAACCGCAAAAGAACCTTGGCTTACAAGAGAATGCAGTACATTACAAATACATAACCTTGGCGAACTTCTATATCAGAAACCAGTCCATGGCTAGGCTCTTCTAGTAAGCAGTCAACACTTCAAGCCATCTAATGCATTGAACATTGACCAGTAGCAGTCTATTCCTCATCTCTGGGCCTTTATATTACATTGTAGGTCAATTATGTCCACAACCCTTTGTCATCAACTCTGAGCTTTAAAGGCTACGTTGTTGATACAGTTGTAGATAGGTAGGCTGAATCAACGGTTTAAATTCTACGACATCTGAGGTAATTCAATGTATTTTATATTTTACGTTATAAAGGGCAAGGCCCCACGTATGTTGCTATAGGCCCTGGATTGTCTGCCGGCACGCACAGCGGGGCGTTTTGCATAGAGCTGCGTCTTTTGGAGTTTCAGGTTTCTCACTGAAATTGCAGTAGAGCGAGTGGTCTGACAGGAGTCATACAGGAAGTCGGTGTGTGGTTGCCAGCAGCCTGCCCCCATCCTGAAAACTTTTGAGGCTCCTAAAGGCCCAGGCTCCATTTTCTCCCACAGCAGCACCTGAACTCTGCCTCGCACTTCTCACAAAATGAAGGCTATGTGTCACAAACTGGTTCCAACTGGCCGTTGCCATGGTTTCCACGTTGGAAGGAGCAGTTGGAGGAAGGAGGGGCCAGGAGGAGTGGTGGGTGTGTCACATGACCACACAGAGAAATGCCTGATGTCATGTGATGTGTATTTGGTGGAGAGATAAATACATAAACACACACGCACAGTGATATGATAACAGTTTAAGTGGAGCAGAGGGGTGATTGAGTAGTGAGTGTGTTTGGCTGTGCTGCGTTACCGCATAATTACAGACGAGTGTCACCTTTGGCCCCAGCTTTTAGCCTCTTTTTATGTGGACGTGCTTCCTTTCTGGAAAGTGATTATTTTGATTGTTTATGGTGGCCTTTGTCATCGAAGCTCAGCTTTGTGAAAAGTATGAATGACAGAGTTCAATCCAGCTTCAAACTGTGTCAGACGATCGTACAGCAACTGAATTGAGGCTTTCTATTATAGGCTAGACGTCTGCTTTACAGGGTTTTGTCAATATTTCAGCCAATCTGCACCGAACTGTTTGATTCCCTTAAAGAGGTGAAATCGGCTCTGGGCTGGTTTGGGTTGCACTCTGAATGTGAAGGATCCATCTATACCTCAAAATGACTGAATCAGCAAAATCCTACGTTGGGAGGGGGGGTCAGCGTACAGCTACAATCTAGGGAAACCGAGGCATGCAGAGACACTGGACCTTACATAACGCAAGCTGCCATGTGTTGTTGTGACGCTTGTGTAAGCTGTTCTCAATAGATGGCAGCAACCTTCATCAGCTAGTCCGTGTCATGTCTGTAATCAGGCCATATCGGTCAACGCGCAGGGCTCGCCTTGAAGGTTTTGTGGTACATCAGGAAGCACTCAAATCCTCAGTTATGGTACTTACTGTGTTCCTCTGACTGCTGTTTTTATTTTATGGACAGAATGTAAACGAAGCTGCTCATCTCGGGGTTTGTTTTTGCTCAAAGGTGAAATGTCATTGAAAAGCAGAACTTTATGAAGAAGATCAGTTTTTCTTTTCACATTTAAGTTAAACACATAAGGAAAGTACTCCATTACACACTTCGGAGAGACCTTACTGGCCTTAGATTGATGTCTCTTGAGGGGAGCCGTTGAGAGGGCAGCAGAGACGCGACTCCGGGGTGAGCAAAAGGAAGAGGGGAAAATAAAACCCAGAAGAACTGACTCAGTGAGTTGGAGTATAAAAGATGAACAAGTAAGGTTGGGGGAGGGGTGCGTGAAGTGGTGACTGAGTGAGAGTGAGTGTACACAATAGGTTGGCTCCTGGCCATGTATTACCCTCCCCCCCCCACCTCGGTGTCACCCTCTCAAGCGTCTCGGGCCAACCTCTGCTCTGCTCCGCTTGTGACTCTGGCGTCGGCAGCTGGGAGGGAGGGGAGAGCCGAGGCCCAGGCTTTGCCGGCGCGGCTAGGCCACAGGCCTTGCCATAGAGGTAGAGCAGGAGCTGGGTGAGGCCCTGTGTGGGTGACAAAACGGGTCTTACCTCAAGCCCTTTCTTGCTTGGCAGGAACTGAACTTCCACACAACTTGATGGAGAATAATTAAACAGCATGATGCAGACGTCGGAGTCCGATGTCACAGACGCTAGCATACCCAAAGCTATTTTGCATAACTCGGCCTACCTACAGTGGTCAGTAGTTGTTCTTGTTCCGTAACATTACTTTGATCCCCCCCTCCCTCCTTTTCACCCACCTCTTTGCTACTGCCACATTCCCCCCCTCTCCCCCAACCCCGCTCCGATTGCGAACGTAACATGCCGTAAGTCACCTTTGTTTTGCTTAGTCGCCAGGAAAAGCCATTATGCACTTAACAAAGGTCTCCAGCTTTCACTTCAGTTGCAGTTCTACACTTTAGTTCATTATATTGCTGCTTTGAGTCCCTCTGCTCCCGGAAGGGAGAGCACAGCTGGTCTGTGGATGCTACCTTACGATGGATATAATCGGTGGTTGTATTCTTTCTCTGCCGCCATTACCCCATTATTGATCTCTTGGTACATGTCTTCTTGTGTGTTCCTGCTGCACATTTGATGCAAGACTCACAGAATAACAATTCAATAACGCCATCTACTGGATTCAAGACAAAGCTACAAGTTCATAATGGACAACTTTGTTCAAACGAGAGAAAATTAATCAAATGTCACTTGTTCATAGGTCTGTTACGATAACAGATTTTGATGTAACTGGAAAATATTTTAAATATCCAAAATAAAACACAACGACCAAAAGCAATAAATAAAATGGATATCAAAACCACACACAACAGAAACCATAAATGAAATGGATTATAAAGCCTCTACAAACAAATCTACCCTTCACAAAATATTAATCATCAGAATGGAAATTGAGCATTTTAACTTTATCATGCGATTAAATGACTTATCGCGTATTGCGACAGGCATTGTACATCTTTTGTTGCATAACTGCAACTAAGTTATGTTTGATAAAGTGATGATGCTCCACGGATTGGGTTTGAACTTGCAGAACAACTCTGAAACCAGTTTTAACGGTCTTCACACAACCTTTGAAGTCCTCCAATTAGCTATCAAAGTCAGACGCCCAAACAACTGTAGTTGATTCTCTCGCTCCATCCAAGAATGTTCTTAAACAAAACAAAAAGACACTAGAAATCCTATGCAAGATGCAAAGCAAAGTATTATTGGAAAGCACAAATTCAACACCAGGCAACATTGCTACGCTTTCAGGAAAACTAATTAAACTTAAACTCAGTTGCAATTGGTCTTTAGTTTATGAATGTGTTATAAAATGTAATATTTGTTTAATGACAAGCATGTATTATTATTGTCTCTTCTTTCAGTGACATTAAGAAAGAACAACAGCCGCCTTCCCCAGATGATGTGATTGTGTTATCAGACAACGAGCCGTCCAGTCCCGTGATGAACGGCCACTGCTTCACGAAGACGGACACGGATAAACTCATGGTAGGAGAATAGAACTTTAAAATGTAATGGTAGTTTTGCCGCATTTACTGTCTAAAAAGGCGTTTACAGCCACTATAAAAACTGTTAGACAATCATCTGGTATGTTATTTATTATCTTGAACTGATTTAAAACCTGGCCTGCACTACACCCAGAAAATAACTTGGTATCAAGGTTTTTTTTTTCTTCTTTTTTCTTCTCATATGTGCAGAAGAGCTCACCTGAGGAAAGGAACGTATTATAAAACAGCTTAAGGAGGAACTGAGGCTCCAGGAAGCCAAACTGGTTCTCCTCAAGAAACTACGACAAAGCCAGATCCAGAAGGAAAGCACTGTACAAAAGGTAAGCAGCAAAGGGAACAAAGTTTGCAACATTAAGAGGCTTTCACTGTGTTGTGCCATTCTGAATAAGGGTTTTAGCTCACCACAGAACACATAGTTCTTGCGTTAATCCTTTACTGACTCTTAATGGAATGAAAAATAGAGATTTCCTGATCAGGATTTTTTTAATCCCTAGCACAGCTCCAAATTATTTGAGACGGGGCATTTTGTGATATGACTTTGCAGCAACAGTCAAATCACATTAGTGCTGCGATTGTGTTCAGTTGATGAAACTCATTTTTGTTCGGCCATTTCAACACTTTGGACGTGGCTTTATTAGTTTGGCAGCACAGGATAATTTTGTTCTAATAGAAGTCTCTAGAAAAACATGCTTTTGTTTCTGTATCTGTATCTGAGTCAGCACAATTGTACTCTATGGTAAAATGTAGTTTTACTTCCTTTGATTTTTTTTTATGCAAAGCACATCCCTGAAGTTGTTGATGCTAGCATGTTTCCTCTTTCTTATATACTTATTTTTCTTGTGCAGTCAAAACTTACAGAAAAAGTTGTGTATTTATTGGTCATACAAGCAAAGCACTACATCTGGACTTACCCCCTCTTTCTCTGTGGATGTTATGAAGGGTGGAAAATAAAAGGTTTGTTAAAATGGAAATGAGCAATCTTTCCAAAGAGCTCCATAAACATCTGTAATCGACCCAGAGTCTCCCAATTATTGGTCTAACACTGTATATATTTTATAATAAAAGATACATTTCTGTTTGTTTTACAATTTAAATTGAATCTATAATTTCTAAGAAGAGTTTTAATAATGCTGTAGTGTTATAGTTCAAGCTCATTTACTCACTTAAGGCTATGTCCTGTTTGAAAACTCATTCTGTCTGAATCTATCTTGGTTATTGTTATTATTTGTCAGCCTTCAGGCATATCTGTATTTATCAGTGCATATGCTTCCTATAAACGTGCCGGGCTGGCAGGTATTTCCCGGGACTGTGCAGGAAATAATCTTATTGTGCGGGTGCGTTTATGTTTAAACTCAGGAAATTTAAGATGTTATTTACAGAAGAAAATGTTTCCCTCATCCCCAACCCAACAATTGTGTATTTGATTTGCATGCGGATTTCGCATTTCTGCGTTTCATGATCCAGTGGGGCACAAAATGGCCGGGTCTTGATTAGTTTAATTAAACATTGTCTTTCTTTTTAATTCAAATTAGCTGCACAAATTACAGTCGCATGTGTTTGTGGAATGTGGCAGACAAGATCATTCACAACACCACGGTAATGGATATCAGGAGTTGAGTTTATTCAGAAATATTGATCATTTAAATAAAAGCCCAGGCTGGGATTCCTAACCTATACTCAGGATCTCAGGATATTTTTGATGTGAATATTAGACATAAGTTTATGTTATATGTTATGTTTATGTTAATTTAAATTAGTCATGATTTTTAAGTCATGAAATGTTTCATATTATAAAGCTGCTGCCTAATAGAAACCAAGTTATGGTGTTTATTTATTTTGCCAGGGTTGTTTAACTTCTTAAACCACACTTTGTCTGTGTTCAGGCGAGTGGCTCAGTGGCCACTCCTCCTCCTCTAGTGCGAGGCAGCATGACATCCAGTAAAGTACCCCTTCAGGTATGGCCTCCCCTCCAGTACTCATTCTAAAACTTGTGTATTTTTTCCTTTTACCTGAGGGTTTTTATCACCACTATTTATAAATATCACCGTTGTTGTGTTTGCAGGTGACGGGTCGTAGCTCAGGCACAGTGATCCCCCCACCCTTAGTGCGGGGTGGACAGCACGTCCCATCCAAACACAACTCTCAGATTGTGATGCCACCCTTGGTCAGAGGAGCCCAGGTTGTTGTCCACTGACTGATTGTCTCCTTTAAACTTTATGCTTGAATGTCTTTAGTGTGTTTTCTTGAGGACTGTTCTCTGTAATTGCTGTATCTGTGCACCCCCCAGCCTATTGCGGTGACCCCTCAGCAGATCGCTAGCCTGCGGCAGCACCAGCAGCACGGCGGTTCAGGTCCACCCCCACTGTTACTGGCCCCCAGGGCTTCTGTCCCCAACGTCCAGATCCAGGGCCAGCGGATCATTCAGCAGGGGCTCATTCGAGTGACTAACGTGGCCAACAACGTCATGGTCAGCATCCCTCGGGTTAAAACCGCTCCTGTGGTGATTTCTAAACCTCCTCTTCGTTTGTGTGAAATTTAGATTTTGTCTTTGTGTTTTTAGGGCTCCTCTGGTCTTAAAGGCTCGTCTCCCAGCTCCAGTGTCAATGATTCTCCGGCTAGCAGGCAGGCGGCTGCTAAGCTAGCTCTAAGGAAGCAGTTGGAGAAGACTCTGCTGGAGATTCCTCCACCCAAACCTCCTGCTCCCGAGTTCAACTTCCTGCCATCCGCTGCTAATAATGAGTTCATCTACTTGTTGGGGTTAGAGGAGGTGGTTCAAAAGCTACTCGAGATGCACGGCCGGGGTGGGTCATCGTCTCTGTGGTTACGATGACAGCAACAGATTGTAAAGCAGTTAAATAATCAATATTGTCTGAATATCATTCCATATTTAGGTAATCTGGGTCCTGCTGCTTCCATGGCCAGCTCCAATTCCAAAGACCCGTACACCTGTGCCCAGTGCAAGACGGACTTCACCTCCCGCTGGAGGAAGGAGAAGGCCGGCACCATCCTCTGCGACCAATGCATGTCGTCCAATCAGAAGAAGGCCCTAAAGGCCGAGCACACAAACCGTCTGAAGGCAGCCTTTGTGAAGGCGCTCCAGCAGGAGCAGGAGATTGAACAGCGTATCCTCCAGCAGACGGCCTCCTCATCGTCCTCCAAAACCACCTCGTCCTCCTCTCCCTCGCTGTCCAAGAGCGAGGTGCTGATATCCCCGCAGTACAAGCAGATCAGGTCTGACTTGCAGCACCGATCAGTGTCTGCACACCACTCCATTAAGCAGGTCGGCACTCCATTTACTTATGTAGCATTTTCTTATTTGCTCCTGCATGATGTTTGTTGACGTCCACCTTGCTCAGCATTTCACTGTGCTGTGTCTCTGTGCAGAGTCATTTGGCTCACAGCATCCAGTCTCGTGGCGTGGCGCACTCCTTTACCTCCTCCCAGCTGCAGAACGCGGTGACGGCGGCCGCGCTGGGCAGCAGAGCAGGGAAACATGCCGCCGCTCTCTCACTGCAGCAGGGAGCAAAGGTCAGCGCCAGCAGCAGTGGTAACCAGGGCAACATGGGAGCCTGGAGGAAGCAGGGCAGTGGGAACGCAGGTACACAAATGTGACAAAGTTATGCAAAAAATGCACGCCACATTTTCTTACTTTGGACTTCTGTTCAGTGTGATATACACAGCATGTTTTATTACAATGTTTCCACAAACTTCAATGTATTGACATTTTGTGCAATATGCAATAGTTAATGACTGTGAAAGGAAGGAAAATCTTTTCATAAAGTCTTTATGATATGTGCATATCAAAAAGAATTTCTAGCTGCAAGTCTCTTTAGGCTTCTATACCACATTTGCACATCTATAGGGTGAAGTCCTTTTGGGTTTTTTTCTTTCCTATTCTTAGTTTCAAAATGGCTCCAGCTCAGCTACGTTAGACTGCATCTGGAAATATTATGGCCAAGTCTCACCAATTTTTTTTTTTATAGGAAGTGTGGGTTTTGACTAGGTCTTTAACATAAAATCCCAGCAAAAAAAGATTAGAGTTGTGGTTGCATGCATGTGCAAGGCACTGAGTACTAATGCTCCTTTTGCTCATAGGCTTTAAAATAGTTAAAGGAATAAACTTTTTTTCTTCTCTTAGACTCTATAATCTTCGATTCATAGGCATAGTCAATGAATAAGAATATGCCGTTCAATCAGACCCGTTTGCCAAATTAAATGAACTTTTTGAATAAAAAAAACTTCACAATCCACATTTCTGTCTTTACAGTGCGTTTTTATTGGTAACAGAAAAGAACAGTTGTTTAATTAATCTATATAATGTCTCTCTTAGCGAATAAAAAAAATTTAAAAAAGTAATAATATATTCATTTATCACGTATGACTATGCTTTGACATTTTTTCGTGTGTCCTTCCAGGAGTGACGATGGCCTACGTCAATCCCAGCTTGTCTGCTCATAAGACCTCCTCTGCAGTGGAACGTCAGCGGGAATATCTGCTGGACATGATTCCTTCCCGCTCCATCTCCCAAGCAGCAAACACATGGAAATAATGCAACCTCTCCCCTCCTCCTGATGCCACAGCTTTTAGCCCTCCTAATATCGATAACAGCCATGCTCATTATCATTCTATTGTTTTCTATAGACTCTGGCTCGGACGGCCAGGATAAGAACTCTTTTTCTCGTTGATCAGAGGTGTATTTAAACCTCTTCTCGACGCCTTCTTATGCTACCTTGTTCCTTTTCTGAATCATTTCCTGAATGAAGCTGTGCTGCAGCAGCTTCTGGGATGCAAGGAACTTGTCATAAACATTTTAGGGGTACCTTTTGCAAGACTTCGGGAGTCGGTGGGGGGGGGGCACTTCGGCTCTTCCAACTGTTTACTGCTCGAACCGGGAAGAAAGTGGCAGAAGAAAAAAACAAAATAAAAACAACGCTGAGCGTTCCTCCTTATGGACCACGCAAGGATTAGCAATGATCACCATCGTATACATGATTTGTCCTGCATCCTGCCTCTCTGCTCCCCCCCCCCACCCCTCCAGGCCTCCAGCCTGAGCCACTCAGGCCCGCGTGCTGGCCTAACCGAACTCTCCTATGGACCTCATCACAGGGATCGTTGAGCTTCGAGGACCATCCGTAAAATATTAACTGCTTTAGCTTTGCAACAATGAATAAGACAAACATAAAAAAAAAACAACAAAAAAAAACAGACTCACAAGGAAAAAAAAAAGAAAAAAGGATCTATCTGCGCACAGACTGCCTCTTCTCATCAACCTTCAGTGTGTAAATTAGAGAAGTTGCTGTGTCTGTTGGACTATTTTGTATGGCTGAATGTTAGGATTTTGTCTTCTCTTCTGTAAGTCCTATGCTGTGTTTGGAATATTGTGCTCCCTGACACTTTGGAAGTGGCCTCTTGTTGAGGTCTGAATATAAAAAAAGGCTAATGTTACTGTTGAGGTGGTTTTACATCTGCTGGTTTCCATTATTGTGGCCTAGTTTTAAATACTTTTTTTGTTTTTTGCTAAGATGATGAGGAAGAATAAAGATTAAGGGTTTCATTGACTCATGTTGGAAAAAAAAAAAGAAAAGGAAAAAAAAAGCTTAAAAAAACAAAACATGGAGCATATTTGGAGGACTGTTCTTACTGAATATTGTAAAATAAACCTTCCAAAGAACTAGTGGAGCCCAAATGGAATCCCTTCTGCTAGAATGTTTCTAGTTTATTTGAGCCCTCTCTGGATATGAACATGATTTCATGCTAAACTGAGTGGGTGTAAGCAATGTCAAGGTTTTGACATTTTAATTTTGCTTTTTAGTCATAGGTTGTGGTGCATTACTTTTTTTTCTTTCTTTTTGTTCCTTCTACAGAAAAAACTGTCTGAATTTATTTATAGGGTTAGTAAAGACTTGCATATGCCCTACGTTTTGAATGGATATTGGTTTAAAATGTGTTTTCTTTTTTTGTTTTGTTTTGTTTTTTTCCCTCTGTGTCAAGCAGCTCTCACACAACCTTTGACCGGTTTGAGCGAAGCTGGACAGCTTTCAGAATGTAGTCATGCAAAAACAAAAAACTAAGCCCTTCTGCGACAGATGACGAACTTCTTAGTCTTTAAGGTGTGTGTGATTTCTGTAAAGTCGATCCTTGCATTTTACCTGCCCTACAGTGTGTTTTGATAAGATTGCAGCAGCACAGGCAGGCAGACGTAAAGTGTCATGGTCAAAAAATAAAAAAATAACAGGATGTTACGGTCAGCCAGCAGGGCTTATGTACAACTTATCAGATGGTGTTCTGTTTGTCTTATTGGAAAATTTACAGTAATTGAAAAAGGAGAGAGACGGAGACGCACGATTGGGCTGTAACGGGTTGACACACGTTTTCTATGTTTTTTTTTTTTCCAGTCTCACCTGCTGATTCCGATTTTGTTTGTTTTTCTAATTCAAAAGGACTATAATACATGAGAGAACTGTGTGTTGCGGGTCTGTGATGGAGGCAGGAGTCTAAATAAATTCTCAGACGTTCTAAGAGAATCTATCCCCCCATCTATGCATCGAGACATGTCGTCGACCTATGACTTTCAGAAAAGTTCTGTTGAAACGCACAGATTTTCCAGAGAGGAGACCGAGACAGCAAAAGTGCGGAGAACAAAAACTTTTAATATCACTTGCAAGTGGAGAACGACAGATAAAATCACAGCAGGAGGCTGAAACAATCACGGAATCATATACAGTTCCTTGGTGCACAGGAAGTGGGAGTCGCTTCAAATGCCCCTCACCAAATTAGGACACATAACATGAAAAGGGGTACTCTGAACCAAATAGACAGCCCTGAGGGGGAGGTATCCTTTGTCTAGCTTCCTCCAAAGCTACACAGATAACTTGAGCATCTCATCCCGTTCCCATAGTGGAGGCGCGCTAAATATTTGTTATCTCTTCGCTTGCAGGCAGCTGGCTTTGGTCCTCCCTGTTACCTACACAAAGAAGAACTGTTCTTATGACACTATGAGTTACAAGGTGCAGCTGGCTAGGAGAGAGGAGTGGAAAAACAACTTATACAACTCAGACTATTTTATACATGTCTAGGTGTAATCTTAAATATTGTAGATAATTCATTTTGTTCCACACTCCACATGCTGTCGATTTAAGGAAAATGGGGGCAACCACAATTTTCATGCCTTTTGTGGCTGAGGGGAAGGGAAAAAAAGAAGAAAAAAAGAATATTTCTCAGTAATTAAAAAAAAAAAAAAGCAACAACAAAAGCTCTGTTCTGATCTGTGTTCAGTAGTTTGCTGCATCTCCCAAAAGTCAATGAGATTCAAATGAGCCAAATTGAATTAAAAGTTACTGCCTGGCCCGATCGTTGCGTTCAGTCTCACATTTTCTAACTCTTTGTTGCACTCAAAGATGTATTTATAAGATCCACGTCTTGAAGTCTAATGTCCTCACGTCAGATAAGGTTTTTTTATTTTAATTATGTGATGTAACGGTTGGACAATTGCTTTATATATCCGCGCCTCGAGTTGAAATGCATCCCTTGATTTTTTTGTGTTTACGCCTTCATTAAAAAAAAGGAAAGAAAAATGTATGTTAACATGTGCAGATGCCCGGTGGTAATGCAAACATACAGAAATTAAGGTGGATTGCTTGTGAAGTTCATGTTTTCTACATTGGCACAGAAGGGGAAATATTCCAGGTTGTGTGTACATTCCTGATGAGCAAAACAAAACAAAAAATAGCAACCCGTGTATCGTGGGAGCAAAAAACCAGCAACCTGGAATGAGCCCATGCCTCTTCTGGTGCAACGCTGTGCTGTCCTGACGACTGCCTGCTGCTGCTGCTGTTTGGCAACATTATCACCATTCCGATGTTTGTTTGTGTGTTTGGGGTCAGCTGCTGACTGCAGTGAAGCGCAAATGGACAACAATGTATAAGATTTTTTTTTTTTTTTTTTTTTTTTTTTGGCTGTTTTTGATTTTTTTTTTTCCTGCTCTGTCAAATAATAAAACTAATTTTAACCCCTGTTTCTTGACTTGTTTGTTTACTGGCAGGGTTGCATGAAATTTGAACTTTGCTGGAGAAAAAGATACAAACACACACACACACACACACGCACACACACACATACACACTCCGTCCTTGCACCAACTAGACTCCACCCACCCACCTTGTCCATTCCTAAATAAGAGCCACTTTTCCCCAGCACATTCTATTTTTCTTTTTTCTACACAATTCATCAAGAGTCAACTTACTCCACATTTCATAAAGATCAGATGTTGCCTCGTATTTTTTTGTCAGGTTTCTAGTGCAAATATCTTAGCACACTTAAAATAAGACAAAATGAACTTACAAGTACCTTTTCAGCAAGAAATGGGAGCTGGTTTAAAGCAAATGCTTCGTTACTATTTTATGAAAAACGACTAGTTCCATTGGCAGATTATTTCACTCAGGAAAAATATTCATTGTTGTGAGTGTAGTATTTGCACTAAAAGCAAGACCAAAATTACTTGGTAGGATTTAGTAATTTTGTAGAGCAGTCTCCCTCAGAGGTGATTGCACACGTTTCTTTTTGAAATGTTTGAGGTACATGACCTGATTTGTATTTGCTTGTTGTGGACGATAGATGGCAGCAGAGTCCTTTTTTTTTGAAGGGATGCCATGAAGACGTTTCAGTGAGAGCCACTGTAATGAACAAAACTACACTGATAGATAATAAAAAATAGATTGTCATTATAGTCACTCATAGATGACGCGTTTGAAATGAGATTCTGAGAACCAACAAGCACAGAACACAACAGCTTCCTTGAGGCTGTCTTTTATTTTATAAGGCACAAAAAAAAAAAAAAAAACATGCAAGTGAAGATAATCCTCTTAATTTAACATTTATCATCCAAGACCTGTTCAGGACTGAGGAGATCGTGTTTGACCTATGCACCTGTCTGGTGCATCTGATGACCAGTGGAGATGCTGATGAGTAAACAGCCACGACTGGGAGCCAATCAGCCGTCAGAGCACCGGGGCTCCTGCTTCTTAATTGGCTGGATTTCCGTGTGAGAGCCACCGAAAGCACAGGCCTTTTTTTTTCTATCAGAGAATGAGCCGAGGGGACCCTGCAGCTAAAAAAACAGACAGAGAGGAGAGGAAGGGTTATTGAGACAAGAAGCAAGAGTGTGTGAGTGTGTGCGTGCGCGTGTGTTTTGAAGCAGCCAATAATTACCTTCTAGCAGCTGAACCAATCAATAGCCTTGGAGAGAGAGAAGAGAGAGAGAGAGAGAGAGAGTCCATTTAAATTTCAGTCTATTCCCAGGAAAAAGACACTCGCGCTCATACACACGTACACACACCCACTATCACACACACGCTCGCAGACACACAGCCCGTCCATTCAACCAGAGTCAGGGAGAAGGAACGGAAGTGTTTTCTTTGGGGGAGCACAGCTTATCCTTTCTCTTGTTTACCGACTCGTGGTGGGCGAAGAACAGATGGACAAGATGAACCACAGCTCAGCTGAGGCAGAGCCTGAAACCATAGAGCCGCTGCGTTACCTCAGGTAGGCACCATTCTATTCTATTCTATTACCACTTTGATTTTTCACGCTGTCTTGAACTGCTCCCTCTCATGACTGCTCACATCAGTGTGGAGAATTGACAGATAAGTGGCGGGCAGATGGAGACAGAGAGAGACTTCAGCATAGAGAAAGTTTTCTATTGACCTTCTGACTGAGCTACAGGGATCAGATGAATGATAGTAGGAATAATATTTAGTTGAGAAACACTGGTGAGGAATGTGATTGGTCAATTCTTATGAGGATCTTCTTCCGCCCTGCGTCTCAACTTTTGATCCCTGCTTCTGCTTCTTTCCCCTGATGCCACAAATTGAATTTGATCCACGATTAACTCAGGGCGTCCAGGGGTTATCTGACTTCATCGCTTCACACATTACCAACCAAGCCGAGCATCTTGCGATTCCCTGGTATCTGGGAGTGGAGATGGGAGGGCTGTGGAGACTCCCTGAGGCCAGGCCGCTTTCCTGGTTGCCTGTTGCTCTCGCACACAAATGCGTGCATCAAGTGTCCTAAATGGTTTGCTGCTTCACAGAACCAGTTGAACATGACAAAAGCTCTTGACAAAGATCTATTTTTCCACGGGCAGCTGGGTTAAGAGGATACACAAAGGTGGGTACTAAGTGGCAAAACTGCACTAATTAAACTTTTGGTGGTTGAAAGTGTTTTTGTGGAAGTCAGATTCTGGTTTTTGCTCCCCTGAGGACCAGAACACAAGAAACACTGCGAGGTCTCTGACAGACAAAAAGAAGAAATTACAGAATTATGTCTATATAAGTATAAAGATGTCCCTAGGCCTTGTCAAATTTATTTGGCTGAAAGTCTGTGAGAGAAAACCTGGTCTGTTGATGTTTCAACAGACAGAAAATGGCTGGAGTTCTTAGTTTTTATGTATTTAATGAGTCGGGTGGACGTAACTTTCTTTTTTTTTATTTTCAGCATTTGACCTGTCTGTCACTTATCAGAGCTCCCACTCTGACCAATTTATATTTTCATTTCTCAACAGCAGTCATTTTGGAGCAAATGTTTGGGGGACATGATGAAAAGAAAGTGAATCATGGCTCAGATTTGTAACACAGTGAAGCTGCTCTGTTGGCGGCATTATAGACATGCCTAAATAAAAACTAAATGCCTTACCAAGTATTACAGTAAGATGAAGTTGGAAGGTTGTACAGTGCAACAAGATGAAAATTGAATAGCACAAAAAAATGACTGCTAAAAAGAAAAATAAAGGAAAGATGGCTTCAACTGGAAAAGGATGGCAGATTTTAATGCAGCTCTTGAATGTTTGTCTGTTTCTGTTTTACAAAGTATATTTTGATCATTTCTTTCGTATCTGAAATTATTCATGAAATTCTGGTGTGACAGCATGACTACATGTGCTCTGCCTGAAATAGATGCTGGACATGAAGTCATTTCTAGTGAATTATTAACAAGCTTATAGTACAGTTTGAATGCATAAATCAAAGGGACTCTTGGGTTTGTCAGCTTGATTCCCACCTAAGATTCTATGATCTGTGAGCTGTCTGAAACACACACACACACACACACACACGCACATGCGCACAGGGCATGTTGTTGAAAATTATTTTAGAGCTAATCTGCCCACAGCCAAAGACTTAAAAAAAAAAATCCCACTAGAAATTCAAAGGAAACAGTAACAAGCTAGAGAGCAGAGCGAGTCTGGCTCATTAATTGGTTCGTTTCACTGATTAAGATGAAGGTTTTCAAGAGCTTCCTGTGGGCAGGTGGTTAAATTCAGAAAAGATTATTTTTTCACACGCAATTTCACTGATGATAGATGAAGCTGCCTGCAAACCTATTTACTTGAACTTTTATATTTTGTCAAATTTTTTTCACAAATTTCTGTTCGTTTTGTCTTTATTGGATTGGACTGGGTTAGACCAATGCAGCAGGGCACGATTATAAAGTGAAAGAAAAGGCTTGCATAATTTTTGATGTTTTTCTGCAAATAAAAATCTGCAAAGTCACAAGATGAGAACATTTTGAATGACATGCACGCGAACTGGACGTTTTGTCAAGCTACACCAACCCCTTGTTAGAACATGGTGGTGGCAGAATAATGCTCCTGGATGCTGTTCTTAGGCAGAAGCTGGTCGGAGTTAAAGGGGGGGGGGGTGTGGATGTAGCTTAAGGCTGGGCAAAATGATTACAAACAGAACAAATGCTAATCAATTTAAGTGCATTTTGAAATTTGGAAAATTTTACTATTATGTTCTGATCACACTTTTGTCTTCTTAATCACAACCCCTTTGTTTTTTCTTTGAATTAAAAAAAAAAGGCTGGATAAAAATGGATCACCCTGTGATGCCGTGGCATATTTCACAAACGTCATTTCGAGACGGGATCAGATTTGCTCCCGTGAAACTGACAAAACACTCTTGAGTCACAGTTGATTGATTCAACTCAGGAGAAAACTCCCTGGTTTTTATTATTAGATGTATTATTAGAGCACTCTCGTGGAGCTTAATTTACACTCCTCATCAACATATGTAATTGCAGCCTTCACGGCGCCTGCGCTTGCGTTACTCACAATATGTCAACATTAGAGAAAACGAGGCTGTGAAAACGAAGCCTCGCTCGCGGGTCTCTGCTGGCTCTCAGTTAATGGATATTATTGTGGAGGGAATGCTCATTAGAAACGGCAACTGTCCTGCTCAGATTCCACGCATGTCTACTACACGTGTGAATGCTAAGTGGGGGATTTAGGATGAGATGATAATTAGATGGTGAGAATTCCTCTCTGCCACGTCCGGCTGCGAGAACCTGGCGATGATGAAGCTGTTCGCCGGCCTGATGAGATCATATAGAACTTGCATCTGGCGTATGTGCCAGAGGCAAAGAGAAACCCCTTTACGTTAATCCATGGAATGCGGAGCGATATCAAAATTAAGCAAAATGGATCTACAGACAAAAGGGCTGCCGCGCATCTGTGTATTCAAATGATCAGATGGAGATGTGGAATGAAATGCCAGAATCTTTCATGAGGAGCGGAGTCATTGCTATGGCACTTCAGCTGATGCGATGCTGCAGGCTGCGAGACCTGAACATGTTGTTCGCAGCTGGCGATCACTCGGCCTCATATCTGGATCCGGAGCTTGTTGCTGCAGGTAGCTTCGGAAAGTTCAAATGAGTAAATCGCAAAGGGCACGCACACACAGAAGGCTTCTGTGAGAGCGTTTTATTCAAGGAGAGAAAGCAGATGAGTAAATGTCTCAGCTCCAAAGCCTGCTCTGTTTCTCTACATTTCTTGTTGTTTTCTTCTTCTTCTTTCTGCTGCAACTGCAACATGTTTTGATTGTGGAAAAAGTTTTTTTCTCTGTTTAATTGCTGCGTATTTTTATATGACATGCTACAAAACAAATGAATATATATAAACAAAGGGCTTTGAAA